TCAAAAATTAAAAAAAAAAAAAAAAACACTTTGAACACTATGTTGGACTTAACACTTTGAAATCTGTTTTCAAAAGTGTGTATTTTCAGGCTCCCAAAATGCCACTGTTGTGTAAATGAACGGTCAAAACACTTAAAAGGTTTTGAGTTTTTATCTGAAAACAGTGTTGCGTAAACATACTAAAGTTTTTGTTAATATTTTGAATTTGATTTTACTTTTTATATTTTGTTTTCATTTAAATTTTAATAAATGTTTTAGCAATTTTGTTTTTTAATTTAATAAAAATCTATTTCGTTTTTTTATTAAGGTTTAGTTTATTTAGCTTTAGTTATTTTAGTACTTTAATTTGTTTAAAGCAATCAAGCAATGATGTTTTAATGATTTTGGGTTACAGTAATAACCTGTTCATTCATAACTCATCTCAGCATGCTATTTTTTTAAATTGCCAAATCAAGTCCTACATGTTTTTCTCATTGCATATCAAATTTTACCATGAAATAAGTCAAATGACAGAAGTAAAATTAGCTGTCAAAGCCATTTCATACTGAAATCATTCTTACAGCAATCAAGTGACAAGTAGCTCTACTTCAACTGAAGCCCAGCTTTAGCTAATAATTAAAGCCAATCAGCAATGAGGTTTCTTTTTCCACAGCATGGATAAATCAGTAGCCATGATGTTAATTCATTAACCTCTTTCTAAGCACAAAAAAAAATAAGTAAATAAATAAAACAAACATCATTCCCAACTCAGAAAACACAGGATTTTTTAAGTCTCACACTATGCTCTTCACTGGTTATTACTGTTAACTAAGAGAAAATAAGTTTGAATAAATAAAATAAATGTTAACATAAATAAATACACATATAATTATTTTATTTCAACAACTTATTTAAATTAAGTTGAAATTCTAAAATAACTCAATTAAGATTTATTTTTTATTAATTATATTCTTTTTTTATTATTTATATATTTATAATTATTATAATTAATTTTAATTTAAAATTTAAAAACTACATAGACAAATGTAACAAAATCTAATGAAAATGACAATAACACAATAAAATTACTAAGACATTAACAAAAATAAATGGGAAATATAAAATTAAAAATTCTAAACATTAATAAAATGTACATTAGTATTCGTACGCTGCTCAACTTTTTGTGTGGTGCCCACATTTCTTATTATTTTGCAAGTTTCATTGTGCAACGTCTCAAATTTTTGATCGATATGATCATTAAGAAGGAGATGGTGGATGTACAGTAACTCCTTCAACATTTGTCTCAGTGGAAATGAAGTGCCTGTTGAGAGCATTGCTCTGTGGGATAGACGATGGGCCACTCAATCACTCAAAAACAGGTTAACAAACAAAGCGGCCGATGAGCTCCAGCCGCTCTTCTGACCTTTTATACACGATTTTCAGATCCCTCCACTCCAGGAAGCTGCACATCTTGGGTTTGCGGGCCAGAACGGTCTGCACCAGCTCCCGCGTGATCTTCTTTTTCTCCTTATCGGACAGAGGAACGTACCATTTCTGCAGACGGAGCTTCCCCTGTCTGCTGAACAACAGCATGAACTGCATCTGAGAGACGAGCCAAGAACAAGAGTGGAGATCAGACGCATTCACTCCATACATAATGTCTTATAGTAAATAAAAGCCCAGTAAATGTGGCATATATAATCACTCAGTATCGAATGTATTCAGTGGCACAGAATCATGCAAATTAATATCAAATTAATATAGCATCAAATCATGAAAAACTCTTATCTATTGTGAAATTAACATGTAAAAAGGCACCTATTTAATTACACACTTTTCACGTTTTACTATTTTCACAATTTAATGGCATACATGAAATGAAAACCATAAAAATTCTCTTCACTTGAAATGTAAATATTATATATACACGTCAATGCATCTGACATCTATTCTGAAATGTAAAAAAAAAGGCACATATTTAAAGATATTTGTTTACATTTTACTATTTTATCTAACAATTTAATATTTATAAAATAGCAAGCAGAAATTAAAACCATACAAAATTACTTGGAAAAAACGTTGAAATAACGGAAAATATTGTTGAAATAGTTTTCATTTAGTTTAAGTAGCCTACAACAATAGCTAAAACAGAAATAAAAAAAACTATATAGACATATTTAACAACAACAAAAAACAAAACTAACACAATGACAAAAACACACAAAATTACTAAAACTTTCAAATTACATGAAAATGTAAAATTCATGACAAACTCTCTCTCTCTCTCTCTCTATATATATATATATATATAATTTCACATTTTAATGTTTATATAATAGAACAAATTATTATTTTTATGAATAATAACAATTATTGTAGTATTGATATTTTTTTAATTCAATATTTAATATAATTAATAAGATTATTATAATTATTATCATCATCATTGTTGTGACAATAATAATAATAATAATAATATACTGTAAAAAAAACTTATTTAAAAAAATGCATGTCATACGGATAATATAATGATATATAGATTATCATTATAACCAAACAGGTTTTTTTTTTTTTTTTAGTTGCATACATTATTATCATCATCATCATCACTATTATACTGTAAAAATGCATGTCGTATGGATAATATAATGACATAGATTATAATTTGCTGAATTTAAACGCCAGTCTTCCAGCGCCAGTTCATTTGCACAGGGTTGGGTTTTACTGATAGAAATATTAGCATCATAAATTAATTCAAAGACCAAATGCACAACACTTACAGCAGATTTTGCGTTGTACACATTTGATTGCAAAGGTAGGGCTAATTAACGCATTTGCTTAAACTAATAAGCGTGTGATCTCCAATGCACGCTGCTGTTTACACTTCCAGTCACGCGAGGCGTTCACAACCTTTAACCTTTTTCGGAAAAGAAATGATGCAACAACACACGACGTACCTTTCTGAGGAGGTCGGTTTGTAAATGAGTTCTGGATTCACAGTGATTCGCGTCTGTCTCAGAGTCAGCTCGAGTCTTGTGTACAATACATACTAAATAGCGTCAGCTGACGACTCGGCACTCATTGGACGGAGGGTTCGCTCGTGGAGCTTTCATTGGTGGAAAGAAGACCGTTATTCCCGCCCACTCAGGAGCGCAGGCAGTTGATTGGATGATACATGCGCCTGTCACCGCTAGAGTCACACCCCCTGTCAGTGTTGTTGGAAGCGTGATTGTCAAACGATTTAAAGGTGGTCAGGATTTTAAAAGGCAATACACATCAGAGGATCACATACAGTGTCAAATTTATCTGGTAAAAACATTCTGTCCATTATGGCCTAATTGCTTTGCGACAAACAACCCCTTATTTGCATAATTAGTCTTTTATTGGCACACAGTTAATGCACAAACACAAAATGCAATCTCTGTACCATGTGTATATTCATTTTGGATACTGTGTTTTTAAACCTCAGATTAAATAGCTCAATATACACATCAATGATAGACTAGCAGTGGATTATACTGATGTTTTTCAAACTAAATTATAGTTACTGGACTGTTAGGAAATAACTATCTTACACAATGGTGGTGCTTAATGAATTACTAACTATATATTTTATTTTATTTTATTACTGCGTTATGTATTTTGCACGTGCGCACTGGAAGCTGCAATTCTTGGCTCTTTCTGAAATGTTAGAAACGCTTACAATTAATTACAAAATCTGTTGGACACATTTGTTTTTCAAACTAAATTATCTGGACTGTTAGGAAATAACTATCTTACACAATGGTGGTGCTTAATGAATTACTAACTATATATTTTATTTTATTTTATTACTGCGTTATGTATTTTGCACGTGCGCACTGGAAGCTGCAATTCTTGGCTCTTTCTGAAATGTTAGAAACGCTTACAATTAATTACAAAATCTGTTGGACACATTTATTTGAGCGTAAACGAGACGCTTCCTTAAAATCGCTGATAATTAATCATTTAAAACAACAAACAGGCTGTTTATATCAAGTTTACTGATGTTACAACGCCACCCAGTGACCGCTTTTCTGCCATAATTAACATCGCATATCTGATCTAAGTTTCATTTTGATATTAATAACTAAAATGTACACGTGCAACAATATATTTGGCCTGGTATTAAACTACAAAAATACAAGTAGGCTACGCTGCTGGGACGGATTTATAACGGCTTCTGAGGGAGTTATTTGTCCCGTAAACAATGCTTTTCCAATCTGACTACGAAATTCTGTCTAAATTATTACTATCTTATTTTGGAAGGAAAGCAAAATTGACAATTGTTATGGTCTCCCACTCCCAGCATGTGAAAAATTATTCTAAAATGTTAAAACAGGATAAGTTGTCTACATTAAAAAATATATATTTAAAAAAAAAGCAAGCAATAGGCCTATCACTCAAAACGTCAGTATCAGACTGTTATTAATAGCAACTTTTCTTCACTCCTCGAAAACTGTGCTTTATGCTGGACAGTATTTATTTATCATGAGTTGTTCAAATCGCGGTAATCTAATACGGTTTTAATGATAATTAAAATATGAAACTGTAATACTAACCATCGGGAATTTTATCATGATTTATCGTCAAACCGGTAATCGTTTCATCCCTAATACACTCATATATATATATATATATATATATAAGCAATAGGCCTATCACTCAAAACATATCAGACTGTCATTAATAGCAACTTTTCTTCACTCCTCCTAACTACACGCGATAAAAGGTATCTTTTCCTCGTTAATCTGAGTTTTTGTCCTAACTAGCTGCAACGGTGACACGCAAAGTTTCTAATTTATAAACGGTTTCTATATGACAGTAGATAAACTCAGGCGATTGTGCTTTATTCAAAGTTAAACAGGTCTAATGGGAGTTTAAATATAATTTTGTGTGACCTTATAGCCATACTGAAAGCAACACCACAGTTTACCTCAGATCTTGAAAATAAACCAAACTAAGATGTTCGTTAAAACTGAACTCACTGCGAACCAACGAGTGTATTCCATAGCGAAGATGTTATCAGTCACTCACTATGTACATTTAATGATGTTAAAAAAAGTTTAATATTTATGAATTAGCTTATAAACGTATCCATTTCCTTGTGAGTGCGCTTCCAGAGAGAGCCCGCCCACACACGCTTCTGATTGGCTGTGATATTTGATCAATTCTGTCGCGTCGCATCTGGAAACTTGTCGCGTCGCGTGTAGTTAGGACACGGTGTTAAGGAAAGGCACAGTAGGCTAAAATGCATTCAAAACGATAAAAAAAAAATAATAATAATAAAAACACCCGGCCTTCCTTGGCAGCCTACTCTTTGCACAAATTAGTAGACGTTTTAGACGCTAAATACGTCAGCATATCCTAATTAATATATATATAGCCTACATGAGCTAAACTACGGCATGAGAGAAGCCGGTAAATGTTAAAGACTTCGGTACACCGTCTGACCAGTTGTACAGAATTCATTGGTGACCTTTCCTTTAGAGATGGCTCCACTGCAAAGAATATGTATTATTGAATCACGTATTAAAAACGGTTATTTTTAAGTAGGCTACAGGGTGCTGTTGCCAAGCGACTCCTGGTTCCCGCCACCGCTGAGAGCAGTTAAAAACGAGCCGGCGGCGAGTTGCGTAGCAACACAAGACGCGAAAACATCTCAGGTTACTTATGTAACCATGGTTCCCCGAGTAGGGAACGAGACACTGCATCCTCTAGGGGTCGCTATGAGAAACCTAGAGGACACAGTTCGAAGTTCCCATGAAAGGGAACGTCTCAGGTTACTTATGTAACCATGGTTCCCTGAGTAGAGAACGAGACACTGCGTCCTCTAGGTTTCTCATAGCGACCCCTAGAGGACACAGTTCGAAGTTCCCATGAAAGGGAACTTTGGAGACCATTAATACAAATTGGCCCATTAACGAACCTCAAAGCGCATTTTAAATTACGCTTCACCAAGTAAAACAAAACATCATAGCGTACAGACGGTGTTTTTAAAAAACGGAAACATCTTTATTCATTATTTACACGTCTAAAAGCGCAGCATTTCAATCTCAGCTGTCAGGAGCTTTTTTGCAGCGGTGTGGAGCTCTCGCTGCGTGATGACGCGCTGCCGGTTGAACTTGGAGAGCCGTGCGGCTTCGGCACCCATCTGCGCATGCGCGTCGGACAGGTGCCGCATCACAGAGACGGCTTCACCCACGTCACTCAGCTCCTTAAACAAGAAAAAAATAATAATTTTAAAACACGCAAATAAACGCGAATCTCTTGTGTGAAGTCAGTTTAAAAGAGTGAAAAAAATAATAATACATCAGGCATAGTTTTGCCTTAACACACCTTCTCAATCTTGTAAATGTAAGCTGAATATGCCTTGGTGCTCTGTTTGCGCGTCCAGCCGGTTTTCCTGGACGTCTTAAGGGACTTCTGGTTTCTGTCGAATGAGGTTTTCATGATCGCTGCTATTCACTTCACGGTCAGCACCTGAGATAGAGCTGATATATGAGCTTCTGAACACTTTATTTAATGTGTCTCAGCTCAGCTCAGCACAGGTGAAACATCTCAGTCTTAATTAAAGCTTATTACCCTAATTAAGGCATTCACACAAACCAAAGGTCCAGTGACACTGTGATGATAAATCATAGTTTTCATATAGCTTAGGGCAGTCTTACGTTTATTTGTTCAACAAATTAGTCCTCAAATTAGGCACATGTCATTATTTGTTCTCACACATTTATACATCACTGTTCTTTTTCTTTTTCTAATTTAGTTTAGTTTTTTTAGTAAAAGCACTGCTATCTTTTTGTAAGGACTGGCCTACACTGCATGTAACCTGCAATTACCTCACATATTTTTCTACCCGATTTAATACATAAAAATTAGTTTTGTTTCTATAAATGACTAGCCTATATTTATGTTGATTCATTGATCGAATAGGCCTAAAATATTTTGACTTGAATAAAACCAGTTAATTTTGGCTAAATTACAATTTTTCAGAGTGTCTTAAGGTTTGAGAATTTTATATGCAACTATAAAAGGCCTAATTATTAATGTATATCAATATAGTTGCATTTGATGCCATATTGAATTTAACGCGAATGAAAACGAGGCTTTACAGTTCTATAATAGCAGGCTGCACGCATATAAAGATTCCAGATCAGGTTGTTGTTTTTTTTGGTTTTTCTCACTACTTTTAAAACTGTTTTATGGAAAACTATTGTTTTATTGTTTAATCAAGAGAAAACAAACACACACGGTTTAAGCAGTTACTACATTGTTAATGGTAGCCTACCACACTGAATCCCAACCAAGAACTCTATCAAGTTTCCTGAGCTCCAAAAGAGCAACCTGTGAGCAATGTACAGAAAGAGGACAGGCAGAGGCGATCAGGACTATTATTGGATGTATGGAGTCAGTGGATTACAGTAATCCAGAGCACACTGACCGCTGCTGTTCATAGCGCACTAGACCTGCTCATCAAGATGGACGTGAAGATCCTCAGTGTGTTTCTGCTGCTGCTGACTCAAGGTACAAAGTGTGTGTGATATGAGAGCTGGACACACCATCTGTGTGTTTCCAGTAGGCTACTGTAGCCTAGTTTCCAGGAACTTGACAGTTATGTATTTGGACTCTAGCAGATGGTCTTCATATCTAAATTGATAAAATGGACCTAAATGTGTGCAAAATTATTAATTTATGGAAAATTAAATTCAAGGGTTTTACTTTAATGATTTTAAAGGCCCGTTTACACCGATAACCGATTATGCTTATTTTAAGCACGCTTTAGAAGTTTTTGTCATCTGCCGCTTTAAATGCTCGAGCTGTTTGTGGAGTGGATTCTGATTGGCTGTCAATTTTTTTTTTTATCATTCATTGGCGGGAAATAGCCTATAAAAATCGCACTAAAAGTGATTCCAGCGATTTCGTCCCTCTCTGTCTTTATACATAAGCCTATAGCTACTCTCATAGAATTAGAAAGTTTCAAAATATATTTAGGCTACATAAATATATTTTCTACCAATATACTTAAAAATTCATTTTACCCTCCATATATTTCAATCCAAGAAAATACATTCCCATAGGTCACATTTATAGAAAATTTTAATTTGTCAAAATTCAGCGAGAAAAATACTTAAAATATTAAAAAGTAAAAATTATTAAATTACAAATCTTGATCTACTTTTTTCCTATATTTAGATATAGCCTATATGTAGGCTCTTGTAATATAGAAAAGTATACGTATTTTCTTGCTCCTGAAATACATAATGAAGATTGAAATATATTTTCAATTTCAAATTCATATTTCATTGACTTTCACAGTTTATAACATATAGTTAGCATATATTTAAATATACTTTGGCCAGTTAAAATGTATTTTTTGGCTGTACTGGCATATATATTTCTTTAATAATGACCTGTATCTCTCTGATCTCTGTCACAGTTTTCATTGGCATAAACACACAGGGGGTAAGTATAAATGTGTGTGTGTACGTGTACAGGTGTGTGTTGCATATGACAGTGTGTGTGACTATTGTACATGTGTGTCAGGAGTTAGAGATGCCATGGCCTTATGACAATGATGACGAGGTGAGTGTGAAGCAAGTGGTGGAGAATCAAACGCCGACAGGCTGTAACTGTGACTGTCAGGAGCCGCGACCCACCGCAACTCCAGCCACCTGGACCTCCATCAGCACCACGCCATCCACACACAGCCCCTATCTGGACTGCATGTCGGGTCAGTGCCTGTATACAATGTACAGGACACTTCAAAAAAATTATAACAAAATTATTATACACACCCACACGTGTGTGTGTGTGTGTGTATATATATATACAGTGGGTGCGGAAAGTATTCAGACCCCCTTAAATTTTTCACTCTTTGTTATATTGCAGCCATTTGCTAAAATCATTTAAGTTAATTTTTTTTCCTCATTAATGTACACACAGCACCCCATATTGACAGAAAAGCTCATAAGTTTACATACCCCTTGCAGAATGTGCAAAATGTTAAAAATTGAAACAAAATAAGAGGGATCATGAAACTTGCATGTTATTTTTTATTTAGTACTGTCCTGAATAAGCCATTTCACATAATAGATGTTTACATATACTCCATAAGACAAAATAATAACTGAATTTATAAAAATGACCCCATTCAAAAGTTTACATACCCTTGAATCTTAATACTATGTGTCATTTCCTGGATGATTCACGACTGTTTTTATATTTTGAATAGTTGTTCATGAGTCCCTTGTTGGTCTTGAGCAGTTCAACGGCCTGCTGTTCTTCAGAAAAATCCCCCAGCTCCTGCACATTCTTTGGTTTTCCAGCATCTTCTGCATATTTGAACCCTTTCCAACATTGACTGTATGATTTTGAAATGCATGTTTTAACGCGGAGGACAATTGAGGGACTCATGCATAACTATTACAAAAGGTGAAAACATGTACTGATGCTCAAGAAGGCCACAACGGGGGTGTAACTTTTTAAATTGGATGATCAGGGTAAATTGTACTTATTTTGTATTATGGGAAACATGTAAGTATTTATGTAGCTTCTGAAGTCCGGTACCAAATGAAAAAATATGATCGTTAAACAAAATGAGAAGAATTTACACATCATCCTGTTCAAAAGTTTCAATCCCCCCATTTTTCAACACATTTCACCTGTTTTGTGTTCATCTGCTTCTCCCATTTGCTATTTTACATTGACTATCACCCTATATAGACTAATACAATCAGATACAACAATAATTTCTCATATTTATTACATTATATTGATAAAATTAACATTAACTTCAGTGGTATAAGATGACTGGATGCTTTCAACTGATATCCTGTTGAACTGTCACCAACTGAATTGTAGTGGTCAAACTATGTAAAATATACTTTAAGCTACAAACTCGATCATAATGCACAATGTTTCCATCTAACATGTATTTTGAGGTGCAGCTCGTCATATTAATGGAGATTTGTGTTGAATGCATAGACATGGAAAGCAGTTATCTTTGGAATGGAAAAATATATATATATTATTTGTAAACATTTTTGCTTATTTCAGTTAATGTCATAAAACTAGCGAGGTAGTAGAGGAGGAACACAAATTGATTCAACAGAGTGAGTCACGCTTAACCGCTCCGAATAATTAAAAATGAAACTCGTGACTTCGATCTTTCATTTCAAGCGATTCACTAGCAAAAAGTAGTTCACAAGGGCCATTCATTTTTTGAAATTCGACGTCGCGTGTAATGATTTTAAAAAGCATGTAGTGATGGGTGAAATGGAGCTTTTCGAAACTCCGAATCAGTTAAACCACTGATGGTGTATTCACACCAGGAAAGTCCGCTAGTTCACTTGCTTTGGTCCGGACCAAATACAATGTTTATTTTTTTTGTTTGGTGCGGTTTGCTTTCACACTGCCCTTTTTGCAAGTGAACCAGAAACTGTAAACAAAACCACACGTGTGCTTAAGGTCATCCATTCATTGGTTTATCAATTCAACCGTACCAGAGTTTGTTTGGAAGCGGACCGAGACCACCTCTTCAGCTGGGTCTCGGTACGGTTGTTTGGTCAGCACCCAAGTGCGATTGCTGTATTCACACCTGCCAAAAAGATCCGCACCAAGGGGGGAAACGAACTTGAGTTCGATTCAATCGAACCAAACAAGACAGGTGTGAATACACCCTGAGTTGCAAAATGATTCACTGTTTCGAAGCACTCCAATTGTATCGCATATCATGAATCATTATTCAGATCAGGGCTTCAGATCACATATCGCAAATCATTTAATTTACACCGTGTCTACACCGGACACGAGCGGCGCGACGCAGCAAAATACTGTAGAACTCATTATAGGCAAATCATTGATGCTGTCTACACTGGATAGCGGTGCGACAAGACACGACAAATCCCTGACAGTAAACTGCTGCCTCGTTCTATTTATGACATACTGACATAAAGTTCAAATGATTTGCAACAATCGCTTTGTCGCGATTGTCCAGTGTACACTCTAAAAAATGCTGGGTTATTTCAACCCAACTTTGGGTCAAATTTGGACTAACCCAACTTTTGGGTTAAAAATTTAATGTAAAAATTTAACCCAACAGTTGGGTTAGTCCATATTTGACCCAAAGTTGGGTTGAAACAACCCAGCATTTTTTAGAGTGTAGAAAGACTTTAGCTGTTGCGGTGTGGTGCGACTGGACACGACAATTCTCGCGTCCAGTGTCGACACGGCGTTAGATCGAAACTTCGGAGTGGGTTCGCGAATCTTTTGATTCAGATCTGAACTTTGGAGTGCGTATCGTGAATCTTTATTCTGAGTTTTCCCCCGTTTTTTTTTATTTTATTAAACAGTACAAACTTCAAGGCAGTACAGTTATAAAAACAAAACAGACAAAGAATATACAGATACAAATGTGTTGCCAGGCTAACAAAAAAAAATAGCCAAATAAATGTACACATTTAAGAGAAAAATGTACACATTGGATGGATATAGATATACAGTTTATTGCTTTAGGATTAACAGAACTTTAGATAATTTTTCTACTTGTCTAGATCAACTTTGAATAAAGAAAAGAGAGGTTAGGAATGTGAAATTTAGCTAGCAGGAAACACAAATTAATTAAGTTATATTTTCCTACACTCTAAAAAAAAACGTTGGATTGTTTACTGTTCCCAATATCTGGGTTAAACATATTAGATCGCTTGTTTATTATCAGTGCATAAGTGAATATACGCATGCTCAACAGGACCACACGCTTGAAGAGCATTAGATAAACATGCATGTCTGTATGTGTTTACATGCATAAACAATGTTGTCTGGCCCGTGTGGGTCTTGAATGGCAAAAACATGCAAGGTCATGCAGCGAACGGCAGCATTAATTGTCACTGGAAAGATTAGAGACAAGAGCATCTCTCGGTCCCTTCAGAATTGCATGCTTACTGATTCAGGGCATGAGGCCAAGAGGCTTTAGAGTGATTACGTGAGTAACGATCATCCATGATGCATCAGCTAAAACTGATAACACATGAACCGCCCTCTGACCTCAGTTTGACAGGGAAGCAGACATTACGATCAAATTATTAACAGATCAGGAAAAAGAGAACTAGAGGACTGTCTGATGGAAATGATAAGACAAGATGAGCGAGAGACCTTCAGATTGAGAATGAGTAAGTATGGTGACTTTGAGCGACGGTAGAGCCAGTGACGGCCAGTGGATAATCTCATGACTAATGATTGTGATGCCCAGATTACCGGGCCTGAAATAGGGCCCGTCTGTCCTGAACCATCACAAACTGCTGGAGAATCACACGTGCCAATTAACAGGACTCCTGATCTTCATACAGCCTGGAAAAGGCTCATATATGATAATATATTCAATTCAATTCAAGTTTATTTGTATAGCGCTTTTCACGATGCAAATCGTTGCAAAGCAGCTCTACAGAAAATTAAAGTTTCTACATTATATTTAGTAATAGCTTATCAGTGGTGACTATCTCAAGTTGATGTCCATATGGCAGAAATGTACGGTAAAAATCAAGCAGTTAATGTCATGTAATCAAACAGACGGTGAACACTATTAACAGCAATGATTATATGTTTTGCGATCAAACTTATAGCAAAGTTTGGTAGTTTTGTATGTCTGAGTTGTATTTGTTGTACTTGTATTTGTTGTCTGAGATTGGCATTATCTGAGGTCCTCTGAGGGGTTGGCATCATCTCTTCTCAGGTGTTCGGTCATCTCAGGTCTTTGTAAGGGCTGGATCCAGACTGAAGCTTGTGTAAATACTAGTTACCATGGGATGCCAATCCCGTGGCAGAAACAGAGAAGGAAATAGAGAAAAATCAGCGTAGCTGCTGTTCCAACCAAGCAAAAAATGATGTGTTCAACCCAAGCAAAAGAATGTTAATGTGTA